GTTGGCGCCAGAAGCGTAGTCAAATTGCTGTTAAGAAGAAGAGCCGACCCGAACTTGGCCGATGCAGAGGGATTGACTCCTCTGCATGTCATTTGCAAAAGAAACGACGACGAGGACGATGATGACGACGATGATGACTACGATGACGATGACGAGGACGATGATGGCGATGATGACGATGATGATGATGATAATAACCTGGTAAAGCTGTTTTTCCAGATCAACGACGAAATTCAGCAAACAGTGCAGGTCAATGCCAGGGATATGTTGGGCAACGCACCACTGCACTATGCTCTAGGCGTTGGCTACAGAAGCGTAGTCAAATTGCTGTTAAGACGTGGTGCCGACCAGAATTTGGCCAACGAGGATGGATCAACACCTCTGCATATAATTTGCCAGAGTAAAAACGCTAATAGATTGACAGAGATATTTTTCAAGATCAACGACGACATCCAGGAGACTGTACAGGTCGACGCTCGAGACAAATTTGGTCGCACACCACTGCAGTGGGCCGTCGCTAAGCTTAAGACGCATTGCTTCAAAAGTCTGCTGGATCGTGGTGCCGATGTATCCAGCTTCGATTTTCCCACCGAGAATTACTTTGCCGAAAATTACAGACCACGTCGTGGAGTTGGGAGTGCTGTGTACAACACGATGTTCATCCTCAAGTCCCTGGAAGAAAGAGGATTTGACTTGGACCAAAACATCGCCTTGATGATCATGAAATTTTTCGCCAAACACGGATTGATCACTGATGAGTGGACGATAGATGTGGACGAATTTTTGCTTAGAGATGAATACTTCGCGAGAGAGTCCAAAGGACACATGATGACGCCGATCCTGTCATTCTACGATTTCCTACATCTGCCATATGAAGAGGCAGAGAAAATATTCACACTTAAGGATTACGAGGAGTTAACATCTGAAATTTTGAATCATTATGATGAATCTCACAAAAAGTTTATTTTGTTCCTGTGCGAGATATTAACTACAAGATTTTTCCAGAGATGGACCCTGGAATTTTTTATGACACTAACGCGATACCAGCTGCCGATTCTTTGCTGTGATATAATCATCCAGCAAATGCGATTAAAAGATATGTGGTGCATTTGCCTGGCTGCCGCTAATCAAAATTTGAATTGATTCAAGTGATATTTTAAACTTTGCCATTAGAAAATGATATAATAGACAAAACCCAAAAACAGTAGTAAGGCACGTGTACGTTTATGTACCCACTGATGCCAATATTTATAAATTTAAAAATTTTAACTTCATTTAGTCTGTGGTCTTGCAGTACAAAGACATTAATCGTAACGAGTTTAGTTTAGTGTCAATTGAATAGCTCTCCAAAGTCTCTGTCTGTAACAGAAAAAGTTGAGATTATATTAAAATAAATGCATAAAACAAGCAAATTATTGTATAGTTCAATTTTCTCACTTTTGTAAAGATTAAGTTTGAAATTATGTTTAAAAATTACAATTAATTCATTGCAAATAGTTAACAGTACCTATAAAATCATATTGAAAACAAAACTTTCTTTGTAGAAAAAATAAAAATATTTTCATAAATAAGTCTTAATGTATGTAACAACTTATTTACCCGAATAAATCCATTTTGAAAATAATCATTTGGAATGATATATTATGATAAAATAATAAATTATAATAAAAAAAAATCATTCGAAAGATTGAAGGGAGCATTAATAGATTGCTATAGATATAATGCACAGGTAAAAAAAAAGCAAAGTTTCATATGTTCATCAATATAAATTTCGAATTATTTTTGCTATAAATCATAATTTATTTACAGTATACCAGATCTATTCTAGTTAACATGCCACCATTAAATTTACGTAAACTTTTAAAAACAAAAGTACGTCTTACTACATAAAAACTTGCCACATTTTTCTCTAATTATGGTGCCAGCAATCAAATCAGTAAAGGAATCGCAGGTAAGTCTATATTGCACAAAGTTACGGTACGAATGTCTCGATGAAATCGTGTGCATTATTCTGCATCAGCTCGCGTGATCAAAACAACAGGAAATATTGACGGCTTACATTCACGTGTCAAGTAAAAATTTGACAGAAAAACTTGTATTAATCATTAGTCAAAAATCACCTCAATAGTGACTAGAGTCAGCAATATCATTAACTAATAACACACTAAAAATTATTAATGAGAACACTTGAGCTTCGGTATACGAAAGCAAGTAAATGTAATATATTTTAATATTAAACGAAAATGATTGCATTTACAATTAATATGTAACTCGATAAAACAAAATTCAAAACTTATAATGTATATTTGCATAACTTTTTTAAGACCGATTTTCGTAAAACGGAAGGCTGTGTTGATCTTTTTATGGTTATGCGGCTCATACTCTTCAGAACAATACAACGAATTTGAAAAGAAACTTTATTTATAAACAAAATTGAGCTATCGAACGTATGAATGATAAAAAATTAATAACAGTTTCTAATACTTCATTGTTCGTCAAAAAATTGAAGGAAATTCATGTGAAAGCGTAAAATTATATGTGAGTATAAAAGTCTTCATTGGGTCTAAATGTCTCAGTAAGAATCTCACTTCCTTAGAGTTCGCTTTGATTATGTTATCTTTAATCTGTGAGATTTCCAGTCATCTTTTTTCTCCAAATGATCTGAGATAAATATATTCTCGAAAGATTTTTGCGAATGAAAATGCGAAGGTTAATATATAAACAGATGAATGGGTACTACAATAGTAAACAATATGATCATAAACGATTTTGAGATTGTCCTTCGAAGCACTGATCATGTTTGTAATGAACATAAATTAGTTTAAGTGTAGTATTTTCCGAAGAAACAAGCTATAACACCAAAAGATAAATTTGACTAATTCTATTTCCTGAATAAAATAATCCGTTGTGTATTTTAGATACTGAGATGGATGTAAGTGAAAAGAAATCCGAGGAAAATGTCTCGAAAAATAATTTTAGTGAACATGACATTGTGGTTTCGAGTGACACTCAGCGCGTCTATGATATTTGTCAGGAGACATTTACACTAGAATCAAGCATGACAACCCGCCGAGGCACAATTCACAATGAACTAAATCATTTCGCCTGTGACAAGTGCGAGAAAACATTTGAGTTCCGAAGTCATTTGAGTAGACACCAAATATTAGAACACAAAAGCCGCAAAGATTTAGCATGCAAAGAATGCGAGAAGAAATTTGTGAAAAAATCAAGTTTGATTACGCACCAAAAATTAGTACATAAAGATCGCGAGGATTTTATGTGTAACAAGTGCGAAAGAAAATTTGAAAATAAATCGACATTGCTTAAGCACAAAAAAATATTCCACGAAGTTTTCAGAGATTACTTATGTGAAAAGTGTGCCAAGAGATTTGAAAATAAACATAGTTTGCTTAGGCATATTAAGACAGTACATGAGGATGGTGGAGATTTTGCAGGTGACAGATGCTCAGAAAAATTTGCACAAAAATCGAATTGGCTCTTACACAAAATAACAGTACACGAATGTCAGAAAAAGTTATCCTTCAAAGATTTTAAAGATTACTCATGTGACAATTGCGAGAAGAAATTTAGACGAAAATGGAATTTGTTAATGCACAAAATGGCAGTACATGAAGGACGCAAAGATTATGCATGCGACAAGTGCGAGCAGAAATTTGGAAAAAAACAGCATTTTCAAGTCCACCAAAAGACAGTCCACGAAGGTCGCAAAGACTACGCATGCGACAAGTGTGAGAAGAAATTTACACAACAATGTTTTTTAATCAGACACCACAATATAGTACACGAAGGTCGGAAAGACTATGCATGTGACAAGTGCGAGCAGAAATTTACACAACAATGTTTTTTAATCAGACACCAAAAGACAGTTCACGAAGGTCGCAAAGACTACGCATGCGACAAGTGTGAGAAGAAATTTGGACAAAAAGCGCATTTGCTCAGACACCAAAGTGCAGTTCATGAAGGTCGAAAAGATTTTGAATGTGACAAGTGTGAGAAGAAATTTATACAAAAATCGGATTTGCTTATCCACCTGCAGACAATACACGAAGGTCGGAAAGATTACGCTTGCGACAAGTGTGAGAAGAAATTTGGAGTAAAGGCAACTTTGCTCTTGCACCAAAAGACAGTTCACGAAGGTCGAAAAGACTACGCGTGTGACAAATGCGAGAAGAAATTTGGGGTTCAAAGCAATTTGATAAAACACAAAAAAACAGTTCACGAAGGTCGCAAAGATCCCTTGACGCATGCACGAGAAGAAATGATAATTGACAATTATAAATATGTATAGATACTTATAAATATACGTTTTTCTAAAATTGTAATAAAAATTGTGCTGAAATTACTCGAGTTTCGGGTAATATCAAATATCAATTACAACTTTGTTCACTATGGTTGTGTGGTGTATTATTTTTGAATGAGATTTCACGAACTACTTATTTAAAGATCAAACGAACTTGTGAAGTTCGATCTTAATTATGTGAAAGGCCTCGTTCGAGAGATTCAACCATGTAGTTACCTCTGTGTACGCTAGATGGCACAGTTTTCAGAGAGAAGCTTGCTCCCTGCCTGTGCGCTCGTGCCGTGGTGCTTCATACCTTTAGAGGGAAGTTTGAGTTTTCACCAGGTATTGCAGGAAAGAAAAATTGCTGTCGGGGTTGGGAAATTTGAAAAATTTTGGGCGGGTGATTATCTCTCGAACGAGGCCTTTCACATAATTAAGATCGAACTTCACAAGTTCGTTTGATCTTTAAATTATGTTTCATGCCTCGTTCGAGAGATTCAACCATGTAGTTATTCAGAGATTATCAGCAATTTTTTTTTTTTTTTTTTTTATATAAAATCAACCAGAATGTATGTTTTATTAACTAGTATTACATGCTACATATATGATATATAGGATATTGTTCTTATAAAGTTTGGTAATAAAATTATGTATTACATTTGAAAATAGTAGGTATATGTATTGATTGTCAGATTCTTTATGCGTTCGGCTTTCCTAGCACCGCATTGGCAAATTGGTGATCTTTTGTTTGAATGGGACGATTGTAGAACTTTGCAAAAACTTCTGAGCCATTTGCCCATCCCGCTGTTGCCCTTATTGTCTCGATATCTATACCTTTACTGAATGCTTGCGAGGTTGCAGCGTGTCTCACTGAGTGGCCTGAGAAAATGTTGGTGTTTACACCACTGTCGTGAAGGACTCCTTTTAACCACTTGCTAACTGTTTGTGNTTCTTTTTTAGTGCTAAGTAAATTTCGCGTTCAAGCTCTTTAATGTGTAGCCAGCCGTATTTAGCTGCTTGACACGTTGCTACTAGTGTTCCTGTCATTGATGCAAAATCTTGGATTGTACAGTGCTTTTTATTCGTGAATGATATCAATTTTTTTGTGATTTCTGATTTCCTTTTGTCGGTGAGCTCAATGATAAGTTTATTTGAATCAAGAGCAAAGCCCAAGTAGTCTACCCGATGGGTAGGAGTGTGTACACTCTTGTCTTCGTTGATCAAGAAGCCCAATTTAGTTAGAAGCTCTTTCGTAGTGCTTAAATTTTTAGCACACTCTGATACCGATTCACCAATGAGAAGAAAATCGTCTATGTAGCTCACTGATAAATAGCCTGATTTTCTCAATTTGCTCAATGCAGGCTTAAGGATTTTTGTAAACACATATGGAGCAGTACATAAGCCGAATGGGAGGACCTGGAACTCGTAGATTACATTTTTGAACTCGAACCTTAAGTATTTTCTATGAGTCTCATGTATTGGGACCGTCAGATATGCATCTTTTATGTCTAGAGTCACCATAAAGCAATTTTTAGTGATTAACTTGCATGCTGTTCGAACATCTTCCATTTTAAAATGGTCTGCGTTAATGAACGAGTTTAGCTTTTTTAAGTTCAGGATGAACCGTGTACTCCCATCCGGCTTGGGTCTCAAGAAATATGAGGACAAGAATTGATTCTCCGTGTACTCGCATTTCTTGATCGCTCCTTTACTTAGCAGAGCGTTGATCGCTTTCTCACATTGTGATGTTTCTGCGTTGGACGCGAACACTATTTTGGGCTTACGTGTTTGTTTTACTGGTTCATTAAATGGGATTTTGTATCCCTGAACACACTGTAACACGAAGGAGTTGGATGTGAGCTCTTTCCACTCGTTATAAAACCCACGTAATCTTCCACCCACCTGTGGGATTAATTCTTCTGCGTCATCGGTTTTCTCCTTCCTGCTTGATGTTGGGTGTTCTTCCTCGCTTGGCTCACTCGATTGTAGAATTGGGGCTTGTTTTTGTACTGCCAGCGATCCTGCGATTGGCCTTGGCCTGACCACGGTTGGTTGTTTCGGTAAGGATGCTGGGAGCGTTGGTATAAAAAATTCTTTGCATTTGAATTTTTTGTTTTTGAGCTGTTGCTTATTTCCTTTGCCACTGACTTTATACTTTTAAGTGTCTTGAATTTGGTTGGCAGGTCTTCGCCGAATAGGAATTTATCCACTTTTTGTTTAGCTAGCATAGCTTTCATGGACGAGTCTCTGATAGATGTTATGATCAGAGCTCTTCGTGACTGAGACTGTTCATAAAATAGTTGACATTGCAGCTGAATCGATTCTGATATCATATTAATCATGTTGAGCCTTGTCTCCTCTTCGAGAGCTACATCGTCGTCCATCAACACCACTAAGGATGAGCCAGTGGTAATAATAGTGTTAGCAGTCAAGTCTTGCGCTTGTTTCATGAATTTGTCGCGTCTGATGGCGTTCGCTTCCATAACTTCTGTTATTTCCGGATTTATTTCCGGCGTGACAATGAATTCAGGCAGCTTATATTGCTCAAGTAAAAATTCTAAGGTTGTAGTATCAAGTCCCTCGTGAGCCCAATTGTTCCACAGTTTTTCCATATGCTCATTAATAGGTACATCGATCTTGTCGGAGATTGTCGGGTCTTTGCCCATAGCATCGATTCTGCTCGATGTTGTTTTTGAGTTTTCCTCCGCGTCCTTCTTCCCAGTGTCACCTGGTTTAGACAGAAAACATTCAATTACTTTACGAGCAATTTTTGCGTCCGGGTATCATGTATACAACTTATTATTGTAAAGTATGTGCTCCGTGATCGGAGATTATGTCTGCAAGGGTAATCACATAGCTTGTATGTGCTGCCGCGAGCGACGTTTTCTTTTCAGGGTACGCTTCTTTTGTACCCAACGAACCTCTCTTGGAGGTTATTGACAGATTTTGCACGTTACTGGCATTTCGGCTATGGCCTTGCCTTACGCATAACTTGTATGCGATGAGCCTCTCTTGGAGGCTATAGGCGTATCTTGTACGCAGTGGCCCTCGCTTGGAGGTTATTAGCGTATCTTGTACGCAGTGGCCCTCGCTTGGAGGTTATTAGCGTATCTTGTACGCGATAGTCCCCTCTTGGAGGTTATAAGCCTTTCTTGTGCACGGCCGGCACTCTGGCCCTGGCCTTGCAATTCACATAGCTTGTATGCGACGACCCTTTTTGATGAGTCTTGTGCGTATATTGTACGCGAGTTACGTTTCGCTACCATAGAGCGCTTATCGTGTAGTAACGCAGCGACGCAGCTGCAAGTATGCGTTTCAACGAATCGCCTTCCAAGGCGCGCTTACCGTTTTCTTTGTCATCCCCGTCATCCTCAGAGTCGCTCTCCGAATTGCCGTCCTCGCTCTCATTTGCATTTGATGCTCGCTCTCGACGCAGAGTGTCGATTTGCTCCTGTAGCTTCTGCATCTTCCTCTCCATCTCGTCCACGTCTACTTCGGATTTGCGTTTACCCATTTCCAAGTTTAGTAGTAAGGTTACGTATGCTGTGCGAATACACGTCCGATCTCTTGCGCACAGAAAAGAGGTATGAAGCACCACGGCACGAGCGCACAGGCAGGGAGCAAGCTTCTCTCTGAAAACTGTGCCATCTAGCGTACACAGAGGTAACTACATGGTTGAATCTCTCGAACGAGGCATGAAACATAATTGATACTCTCCGTTTATTTCATCGCCTTCATCGACTTAAAACTTTATTTATTTACTTTTTTACCTTTTTTATTCGGTCTTTTTATGTATGAGTCATTAAAAATCTGATCAATCTCATTCGATCGCATATTACTCGATTATTATCCAACAGGATCTGACAAGTCTCAAAAAATTGCTCGAAATTTATAACGCGCATCGTGGCGAATAAAAAAAATAAACAAAAAAGTTTGACACTCGTGGCAGCACTTACTTAGCACTGCGTAGACTTGCTACAATATTAAATGCTTCAATGATCGGTCTATAAACGTTCCAAAAATAAAATAATGAATCTCACTTTGTGCGCCACGTGATGCATCTTTTAGTAGGTATTGCTGACCTATAAGAACGCAACTCGACTCGCCTTGGGAGACAGTGCATATTGTAGTTCGTCGAGTTCTTATATTTTTATCAAATGGCAACTGTTTTTATTATATATTATTATTATAGTTTTGAAATGAATATGAAAATGATTTTTTTCGTGAAAATTAAGGATGCCATCAAAAAGAGAAGGTAATAATCCATGGATTCATTTCAAAGTCACTGGTACTTTTACGATTCGAAGAAGTTGCGAAAGTCGTGAAAACCCCACAGCACGCAGTTTGTTACACAAACTACCATAAATTGCGGTGCAAATTTAAATATCAATCGTCGGCCAGTTTGTTCTAAAACGTTACGATTACATTTTTGCTCACGAGCGCGCAGCCTGCTCGGGTCAAGTCTCGACTTGTCCTTGACGATGTGCGGCGGTTGGCGCGCAAATGCCGCCGCAGTGCCAGTCAGTACGCGTTACGACGCCGCAGCGTTAACACTGAAACATCGCATCGATTTCAGTCAGTTAATTCTCGTGACAAGTAAGGATATTGATTTAGAACAACGGGTTTGAGTGTGAGTGTGTGGAACAATGGCCTCGAACGACCAAAGGTGTTTGAAAAAATTGAAAACTTGGCGTGAAGAGGTTAATTGGGCGATCGAAAAAGACCGACGTAAATTTTTTCACAAATTTTATGCCCTGGTCGAAAATTGGGAGGGACAGCTTCCCAACCTCCGTGACATTTTTCAAAGCGAAGAGATCGACTGGCTCCTCACCGAGGAAATAGAAAACGATAAAAATTCTTGGGGCAACTTTACCGGATGGCCGCTCGTTCGATTCGTGATTCGCGCCGGCTACAGAGACGAGCCCGAGGTCGACGAGGACGACGGCACGTATCGACTTCGTCGCTTCGACGTCGTCGACTCGACTTCGACGAGTCGTCGGGCCTGACTCACTTCCACGTGGCCTGCAAGCACGGCTGCGACGAGGTCGTCGAGAGATTTCTCGAGCTCGGACAGGATCCGGACTGCCTCGTTCCGAAAACGGGCGATTCGCCGCTGAACTTGGCTCTGAGGCACGGACACAAGAGGGTGCTGGAACTGTTGCTGAAGTACGGCGCCGATCCAAATCTGACCGGCAAAAAGGACGGATCGAGCCCTCTGCACCTGATTTGGGTTCAGTCGAGCGACGACGTGATGGAGATATTTTTCCAAGTCTGCGACGAGATTCTCGAGAACGCGGTGCGGGTCGACGCTCGCGACAAGTTGGGCCGTACACCTCTGTGCTTGGCTCTGCAGCGGGGCAAAAACAAGGCGGCCGAGATTCTGCTGAGGAGAGGCGCGGATCCTAATTCCACCGATGCCGAAGGATCGACACCTCTGCACGTTATGTGCAATAACCGCAATGTCGATTTCACGAAGATATTTTTCAAGATCTGCGACGAAGAACGTAAAGTGGTGCAGGTCGACGCTCGAGACGATTTCGGACGCACACCATTGCACTTGGCCGTACTCGACAAAAACGAGAAACTAGCTGAATTACTTTTGAGAAGGGGTGCAGATCCGAATCTGGCCGGATCGGATGGATTGACTGCACTGCACATTATGTGCAAAGAAGGCAAAGATGATGGCTATGATTACGTCGACGATGACCTGGTGGAGCTATTTTTCCGGATCACGGACGAGATGCAGCTGTCGGTCAAGGTCGACGCCGTGGACAAGAAGGGCAACACACCGCTGTCCTATGCTCTAAAAAGTGGCGTCAAAAAAGTAATCGAACTACTGCTGAGAAACGGCGCGGATCCGAACTTAGCCGACGCAGAAGGATTGACTCCTCTGCACGTTCTTTGCAAGACAGACTATTTTCTTCGCAACGGCAAACATTTGTTGGAAATGTTCTTCGAGCTGAATAAGGACAAAGAACAGAAGTTACAGGTCGACGCCCGCGATAAGAAGGGCGACACGCCGCTGCATTTGGCTCTGAAAAAATACTTCACGGACAACAATGAGGTGGTTAAAGTGTTGCTGATGAACGGCGCCAACCTAAATTTGCCCGATGCCAACGGATCGACTCCTCTGCACATTGTTTGCCAAAAAGACCTTCGTGGCAACGACGAAAATCATCATCGTCACGATCTGTTGAGGATGTTCTTCGAGGTGAGCAAGGTGAAAAATCAGCCGGTGCGAGTCGACGCCTTCGATAAGGAGGGCAGCACACCGTTGCACTTGGCTCTGAACCGCAACATCGCCGACAGGACGATAGTCACTTTACTACTGAGAAACGGCGCCAACCCGAATCTGGCCGATGCGAAAGGATCGACTGCTCTGCACATGATTTGCCAAAGAAAACTCGATGTGGACATGGCGGATACGTTCTTCGAGATGGTCGCCGAGCAACTTGGAACAGTGCGGATCGACGCTCTGGACAAGCAAGGCAACACACCGTTGCACTTGGCTCTGAGTCACGATTACAAGGCGAAGGCCGAATCGCTGCTGCGCAGAGGGGCCAGTCCGAATTCGGTCGACGCGGATGGATCGACTCCTCTCCACGTGATTTGCAAGAGATACCGCGAGGAATATAATTTTGTGAAGATATTCTTCGAGATCTGTGACGAAAAACATGTGACGGTGCAAATCAACGCTCGGGACAAGTTGGGCTGGGCACCACTGCACTTGGCTCTTGACCGCTGCCACAAGAACGTAGCCGAATTACTGCTTAGAAGAAGAGCCGACCCGAACTTGGCCGATGCAGAGGGACTGACTCCTTTGCACGTAATTTGCAAAAAAGAGGACGACAAGGACGACGAGTTGCTTAAGCTGTTTTTCAAGATCAACGACGACATCGAGCAGACTGTGCTAATAGATGCGCGGGACAGTAACGGTAACACACCGTTGCACGTGGCTCTGAGCCTCGGCAAAAAGGAGGCGACCGAATTACTTTTCGGAAGAGGTGCCGATCATAATTTGGCCGACGACGATGGATCAACGCCACTGCATATCATTTGCCAAAGAGAAGACTGCGATGACTTGTTGAAAATATTTTTCAAGTTCAACTGCAAACTTCATGAGACGCTAGACGCCTGTGACGTGGTGGGCCGGACTCCACTGCATTGGGCCGTGGCGAGTCTCTTGCCAGACATGGTCGACTTTCTGTTGAACAGTGGGGCTGATGTTTCTGGCTTCGTTTTTCCCACCGACAGTCATTTCGTCAATAAAAATACATCTACGCGTGAACCAGAGACGATCGTTTTCCGTACGATATCCATCGTCGAGTCACTGGAAAAAAGAGGATATCGGCTGAACCAAACCGCCGCCCTGACTATTATGAAAACATTCGCCAAGCATGGCACGGTGGGCCTGAAGCCGCGATAGGTTTCATCAAAATGGCCACCAAAACTGATTGCACCACTGTTTAGTCGGTCAATCACAGATGAAAACCCCGTTCGAACCAAAATCCTAGCTGATCCTGTTCAAAAGTTATACGTATTTTTCTATTTTTATCCAAAAACCTCTATTTATACTCCGGACGCTGGCTCGGTTTTCGTAAAAATTTCCGACTTCACGGCGTTTTTACACGTTATTAGACGTATTTTGATGCGCTGAATCGATTTTTCGAGGTTGATTTTCTCGAATCAGGTGCGTTTAAAAGTTATAAACAAATTAATTGTTTAAACAGCCATATCTTGTAAAATATTGAAGATAGATTAAAACAACTGGCGTCTACTTGATCGATTACCTTTTGGAACGTCTTAAAATTTTCGTTTTTTGACGTACTTTCATTTGTATTAAGTTGCTACGTTATTATAATAATTTATCCCATCAAAAAACGCGTATAAACAAATGAAAAGTACGTGACAGTCATTAAATTACGTCTCAGAACAGCTAATAATTACTTTATAAACAATCATACTGGGATAAAAGCTATACAGAATTGTTGTGTAGGTTATTACCTTTAAAATGAGACGTCGATGAGCTCGATCGCACTAATACGAGCCAAGTTACGGGGGTTGAAAGATAAAAAAGGACGTATTTCTAGTAATTTTGCACTAAATATTGCATAACTTTTTTTCTAGTGGACGGATTTTCAATTAATTTAATGGAAATTCTTCGTCTTTTGAAGACAAATAAAATAAAAAACAATTGTTTTAATCTATCTTCAATATTTTACAAGATATGGCCGTTTAAACAATTAATTTGTTTATAACTTTTAAACGCACCTGATTCGAGAAAATCAACCTCGAAAAATCGATTCAGCGCATCAAAATACGTCTAATAACGTGTAAAAACGCCGTGGAGTCGGAAATTTTTACGAAAACCGAGCCAGCGTCAGGAGTATAAATAGAGGTTTTTGGATAAAAATAGAAAAATACGTATAACTTTTGAACAGGATCAGCTAGGATTTTGGTTCGAACGGGGTTTTCATCTGTGATTGACCGACTAAACAATGGTGCAATCAGTTTTGGTGGCCATTTTGATGAAACCTATCGCGGCTTCAGGCCCACCGTGATGGATTGATCGATAAATCAGTGGATATCGTCGAGTGTTTGCGTAGCGACGAAAAACTCGCCAGGTTTGCGCAAAAGAAGATGGTGAATCCAAACCTGACTCTCTATGATTTTCTTCAGCTGCCATCCGAAGAGGCAGTGAAACTATTTACGATCAAGAATTACGCCGAGTTAACTTCTGAAACTTCGCACATTTCGAACTTCGATTATGGGTCTCGCCGTAAGTATATTTCGTTCCTGAGCGAGATAGTAACGATACGATTTTTCCGACGATGGGCAGTGCAAGCTCTGCTTGAGCTGATTGGCTATCAGCTGCCGATTCTCTGTTGTTACATGATCGTCGAAAATCTGAAGATCGAGGACTCGTGGAACATTTGCCAGGCGGCACTGCTCAAAACGTGGGAAGAGTTAATTGATTTGTAAAATCGCTATATTGGAAAACAATCATATAGTCGGTACATAAAAGCTGTGGTGTATGTGAACGAGAGCCAAAAATCATGAATATAAAAAGCTTTGGTTCACCTGTCAGTGTGAAAACATGATTGTGCCGATGTATATATTTTATACTTAGTTTCTGCATTTAGCTGTAAGTAAAATCTAAAATAACAAGAGATTTTAATTAAATTTTAAAAACTTTTGCAAAGATCAAGTTTGTAATTTATATTTAAAAATCTTTAGTAATGATGGAAAATTAATAACAAATTGCATGTAATTTGATTGAATAAGTTCAAAAATAAACTTTCATTCAAGTAAAAATAAGAATATTTTAAGTACAGTCTGAGTATATGCAACAATTCATTTATTATTCTTATTCAAATGTAAACTAACATTTAACACGGAAGTGTCGTTTACTCGTTGGACATTTGCCACAAATTTTTCAATTCATTGTACCAGCGAGTGAATTAGCCAACGGTTTATCATTTATCAAAGCAGTTATTTTAGTTGGGGTGTCGCGGAAAGATCTTTGCACCGCTTCACTGTAGCCGTGGCGAATCTCAAGCCTCGTACCGTCGTGGTCTCCTTTGTAAGTAAATTTAAAAACTGACAAAAAAGACACGCGCGCGCATTATTGTCCTGCAATTTGTTGTTGATTACTGCCCTCAACTTGTGGCAATGGTGCAGCCCCTTCGTCAAGCTTTCCGTCGAGTTCCTTGATCCTTCGACTTATCGCGTCGACGAGTTTACCGATGCCGTTGAAAATCTCGTGTCGAGGATCCGTCCTGACGGTGAGGCCGGGCGTGCTGTAAACGTAGCGCTCGTCGTCGTCGCACGTCTCGTCGGCCCGCTTGTCCACGTGCTCGGCCTCCAATGCGGTCGCGAGACCGATCAAATCTCTCGGCAGCCACCTATCGCCGTCTGCAAAGTTTGGTTTTTTGTTTCGGATCGATATCCGCGTATACTTTACTTAACGAATCGTCCCGAATGGAAAAAAAGACCTCGGAATGCGCTAACCTGAACGTCCGATGGTGATTCGCACTTTCGGTATGCACTTGGCGACCAGAATACCGCCGTAAGATATAGTGCCGATCGGTTTTTTACTCTTATAGAAATCTTGGATGTTTAAATGAAGGAACGGATTTACTACAGCCGCGTTGGCTGCATTGAGGAAGTTGCTTCTGCACGATGGAACGAGGAAAAATTATTATCAAAAATTAAAAAAAAAGACAAAGTAACGATTCGCAAGATGTCGAAAAAAAAACAGAGGAAAATTACAAGATGTAGCCGACGCCGGCGCCACCGGGAATAAAGAGCGCCTTGTACCTCCGATGATCGAGTTGTTCGAGCGGCCGCACCGGGTGATTGACGAGAAGACGCGCGGCCTCCGACAGGGTATTGCGCGTCGGCTTAATAGGAATCTCAATGTCCCCATCATTTACTACGTTCTTCTTGAATTCCCTCGTCTCGAACACGAAGTAATGCTTATTTTCCTGTTTGGGCGCGAACAGCTCCGCGGCCAGTCCGCAGCGATGCAGATGCACGGCCAGCGACGTGGTCTCCAGTATGGAGCTGCCGTCGGTGTCGCCGCAGCCGCTGACTACCTGCGAGGCACGAGGACCCGATTATATATATATATATATATAATCAACGAGAGGCCGTCGACTCTTTCTTTCGTCATTGATCATTCGTTCGATCGAACGTTACCACTGCCACTTGCGGTGCATCGGTTGCAAAAGGTCCTCTCGGCTTTGCAAGAATATTTGCTTTTTTCTTTTTGCGGGCTGGCTCAACGCGTGGTTTTTTGCTGGCTGGCTCTTGACCGGCTGGTTCTTCGTCGCGTGGCCTTTTGACGCCTGGCTCTTTGCAGGTCGCGCTCGTGTGAAGCGATAATAGGTTAGACGCTGCCTTCCTCGTGGCGGCCAATTTGGACACGCCGGCCGCCAGGAATCGCACGGGTGAAAAACGAGACATCATTTTTTCGCAGTTTAAAAAAAAAAAGGGGTTCACTTCAAAAACGCGCGGAGTAAATACACATTTTTGAGAATTTGGAAACTCGCGGACGACGCGCTAAGGCGCTGATGAGGTTTTCTGCGCGTGGCGCGATCGATGACTTGAATTTGTCTACTATCCGATCGAATGGACGTTCGATTTTTTTTTTTAAGCCACTTCAGCCTCGGATGATAAAATTTGGTTTCGCTCAGTCAGTGGATTGTTAAAACGGCTTTCATTACTTTTGAAGGAAACGTTTTTCAGCTTTAGCAAATGTCTTTGAATTATTACACGCGAAGAGATTTATTTTCACGAATAATAAAATTAATCCACTGATTGTTGTCGACTGCTTTTATTTGGCTTTAAAAAAAAAAAAGATTATTTGATTTTTACTCTTGCACTGTGCAGCAAAGAACTGCGAAATTCATTATTTGAATCGGCGGAATCAGCAAGTTTTTGATTATTATTACATTAAAAAACACCTCCTCGTCGTGAAATAAAAAAATCAAACATTTTCCATGTCTATGTGTATGCGAGGAAGCCCACAAAAATCATCGTCACTGTATTCAATCGCACGTCAACGGATACAGACTAGGATACATACGATATTGGTGATCTTTTAGTTCAATGCAAAAAAAAGAGATAATAACAATCGCAGTCGACGGAGATTCGGCGTCGTCGTCGTCGTCGTCGTCGTCCGACGCGATCACCAGCCCGCGGGCGTGTCGTCCTCATCGAGGTCGGCCTTCACCGCCTTGACGAGCCTCTCGATGCCCCGATGAATGTCCCATAAGGTGGCCCCGCAGCCGTAGTGGCCGGGCGTGCTGAACACGTTGTACTTGTCGCAGTGCACCACCTCCAAGCTGGTCGCCGAGTCGATTATCGAGCCTGCCGTCTGCTCCAGATATTGGGCCAAGTGCGTTTTTGAGTCCGGGTCACTTTTCGCTCTTGCTATATACGAGCCCGCACACATACACACATACGCGTTAATGTCACATATGAGCAATTCTTTAAATGAAACGCATTTTTGGAGGTAGAATCGTGGCAAATTTTTTTTTCAACCTACGCGGATACGGACCCCCGCACGGTGGGCCTGAAGCCGCGATAGGTTTCATCAAAATGGCCACCAAAACTGATTGCACCATTGTTTAGTCGGTCAATCACAGATGAAAACCCCGTTCGAACCAAAATCCTAGCTGATCCTGTTCAAAAGTTATACGTATTTTTCTATTTTTATCCAAAAACCTCTATTTATACTCCTGACGCTGGCTCGGTTTTCGTAAAAATTTCCGACTTCACGGCGTTTTTACACGTTATTAGACGTATTTTGATGCGCTGAATCGATTTTTCGAGGTTGATTTTCTCGAATCAGGTGCGTTTAAAAGTTATAAACAAATTAATTGTTTAAACAGCCATATCTTGTAAAATATTGAAGATAGATTAAAACAACTGGCGTCTACTTGATCGATTACCTTTTGGAACGTCTTAAAATTTTCGTTTTTTGACGTACTTTCATTTGTATTAAGTTGCTACGTTATTATAATAATTTATCCCATCAAAAAACGCGTATAAACAAATGAAAAGTACGTGACAGTCATTAAATTACGTCTCAGAACAGCTAATAATTACTTTATAAACAATCATACTGGGATAAAAGCTATACAGAATTGTTGTGTAGGTTATTACCTTTAAAATGAGACGTCGATGAGCTCGATCGCACTAATACGAGCCAAGTTACGGGGGTTGAAAGATAAAAAAGGACGTATTTCTAGTAATTTTGCACTAAATATTGCATAACTTTTTTTCTAGTGGACGGATTTTCAATTAATTTAATGGAAATTCTTCGTCTTTTGAAGACAAATAAAATAAAAAAAAATTGTTTTAATCTATCTTCAATATTTTACAAGATATGGCCGTTTAAACAATTAATTTGTTTATAACTTTTAAACGCACCTGATTCGAGAAAATCAACCTCGAAAAATCGATTCAGCGCATCAAAATACGTCTAGAAACGTGTAAAAATGCCGTGGAGTCGGAAATTTTTACGAAAACCGAGCCAGCGTCCGGAGTATAAATAGAGGTTTTTGGATAAAAATAGAAAAATACGTATAACTTTTGAACAGGATCAGCTAGGATTTTGGTTCGAACGGGGTTTTCATCTGTGATTGACCGACTAAACAGTGGTGCAATCAGTTTTGGTGGCCATTTTGATGAAACCTATCGCGGCTTCAGGCCCACCGTGCCCGGGAACAGTTTTTGGGGGTCCTAGGAACATGTAACTACGTAGGAACCATTGAAATTTCAATAGTGCTTATTTTTATAACTACTTTCGTGATTTAGAGGTCGCACATTCATCGTGAAAATTGCCATCAAACATGCCGAGCTAAATATCTCGAAAAACTCGGTACGGAAAAAGTGATTTTTGAGGTTTAATTTCGATTTTTCCTCGTGAAAATGAAATGTATCGAAAAATCTGACTACATCATGAGAAAGCTGAGGAAATTTTCTATCGAAACATATCTTCATTAATTTTTTGAGTCGAATTACAATGTTATACGTGGAAATTTCTTTTACTTTGTTCGCTGTTTTCTGTTTCCGAGCTGTATTCAGCGCGGTCGCGAGGTTTTCGGCTCGCTACAATCAAAACTAGCTCGTAATTCGACTCAAAAAATAAGTGCAGATATGCTTTCGATAGGAAATTTCCTCAGCTTTCTCATGGTTCCATCAGATTTTCCAAAAAATCTCATTTTCACCAGGAAAAATCAAAAATAGACATTAAAGGTCCCTTTTTCCCTACCGAGTTTTTCGAGATATTTAGCTTTGCATGTTTGATGGCGATTTTCTCGGTGAATGTGCGACTTGTCGGAAAATCTGATACCACCATCGGAAAGCTGAGAAAATTTCCCGTCGAACACAGTAGCCAGTTCTTTTTTTTTTAGATGAGTTTTGATACTTTTTCAGCAACTTAGAAATTGAGTATTTAACCGTATTTACGAGAAAAGAGGATTTTTCGACCTCTAAATCACGAAAGTAGTTATAAAAATAAGCACTATTGAAATTTCAATGTTTCCTACGTGGTCACATGTTCCCAGGACCCCCAGAAACATTTCCCGGGAGTCTGTATCCGCATAGGTTGAAAAAAAAATTTGCCGCGATTCTACCTCGAAAAATGCGCTTTGCGCAATGTTTGTCGGATGCGCGCCGCTCCTTACGTGTCGTTCCTATGGTGACTCTCACGCCTCTAAAACACTCAGCAACCAGTTGGCAAGCATCGGAAATCGTGGCGATGGGCTTGTGGGCCGCTTTATAACGGTAAATGGCCTTCTTCACGTGACGTTTAAATTCTTCATGCCCGATACCCTGGCCGCCGGGAATGAAGAGTCCGCAATACTGATCGCAGTTCTCTCTCTTGGAGAGTTCTCTGAGATTGTAGATGGACTTTTCGTCGATCAGGTGCGCGGCGTCGTCCCAAGCCGAGCGGTCAGCCTCCTGTATCTTCTTAAGGGGAAACGGTTGCCCGGTAATGTGATCGATCGGTGTCATAGAGTAATTTCCAGCGTAGAAATGCGCGGTGAAGTTGTGCCGCTGCAGATTTATGGCCAGTGACATGACTTCCAGTGGAAAGGTGCCGTCGCGATCTCCGCAGCCGGCCAATGCCTATCGTACAAAGGACACGACGGCAAAAAGCGACGGATGAATCGATCGTGCCGAAATACACATCACAGTTTTTTTTTTTTTTTTTATCGAATTGTAAACGTTACCACAGCTACATTTCGCTCTGGGTGGTTGGGGTTGTAATCGGCCTCCATTATATCGGCTATCTTTATCTTATCGAACTCCGCTGTTACCGGTTTTTTTCTTTCTGTCGGTCTTTCCGCGAGCGAGGCCGCGCTCGTGTGCAGCGGTAGGTTAGATGCCGCCGGTGTTGTTGTTGTTCTTCTTGTCGCGGCCAATTTAGACACGTTGCCCGCCACGAATCGCAGAGACGAAAAACGGGACAACATTTTTACGGGGGTCGCAACGAAAAACGCGTGGATTTAAAACACGTGTCGGCTTCGGAAATTTTTTAGAATTTGGAAATTCGCGGTCGACACGCTAACACATCTTGTGCGTGTGCTCATGCATGCGTGTGTACATGCAGACAGATTTTACCATCTATCAACATTTTTCTCTCGAGCCAACTTCAGGTATGTCACGACTCGCGCGAGTATATGAGGCAATGTGCCCGACACGAAATCCGCCAGAGGACAGATGCACCCGTGGCTGTTCTCCGAGATTTAGTATGCCAATATGAGCGGTTCTCACTGGCCGTTAAATTATTAGAAATTGCTCACATCGAAAGTGAAGTCCCCAGGAGGATCTAAGGGTATATATTTTATTTTATGGACAGTTCTGAGTCATCGTGCATTTATTCCTCAGTTTACAGTAATTATAATTTTAGACAAATTGACCGATTTTGATTTTTTCTGTTTTTAGTGGAAGTTGCAAGTCTTGTCAAGAGGTAAAATTTTTTTACAACACGTTTATTTGTAAAATTAATAGTTTTCGATCTGTCATCGAAACAGCCATTTGACCAACTTCAACATTTTAACATTTTTTTATTGAGTTTCTGTTGAAGCAGTTCGTTGTGGAGTTTTCAACGAAGCGAAACATCATTTATTGTGTTTGTTATTTTGTAAGGGTTCCACTCATACAGTTGAATTTCATTTAATCACTTGATATATCATTGTAATAGGAGAGTAAATTAATAAACCATCATGAATATTACAATTGTTTATTTCTTCAATAAGACGATGAAACAATCCGAAAAAAAATTACACCGTTTATCGCACAACAATAGCCCAAAACTGGCCAAGTATCATCGTTCGATGTCGGATGATTTTCTCAGACCCAAAGGAGCGGAGAGTCAACGGGCGTCTGGCCTTATTAAACTCTTCGTATAACTGACCAATTCTCGGATCCCGGTGAAAACGTCTCTTCTACGG